CAGAGGCTCAGCTGAGTTTCTTCCCTATTTAAAATCCTGTTGTTAATTCAGGGACTTTCCACAACCATGTGTATAGCCTGCATGCAAAGCATGTCTATAGTATGTGGGTAGCACTAATGCAAAGCCACATACCTACCTGCTGTAACACCAGCTTTAAGGGACCAACCCATAGTCAGAGCAGGATAGTCTCCCGCCTCAGGCCATCCATGCAGGCTCTACCAAGACTGCCCACAGGTGCAGCAGTGTAACAGCATGGACACTTGGAACTGATCTAAGGATGATGTGCTTATTTTGGGTAAGCAACTAACCAGCCATCAGATCACAGTGCAGGTGAATCTGTAGGAGCATCAATGGCAGAAGGCATCATGAAGTGATTAGTACCAAGGCCATAAATGGAAGCATGCAGTACTTTACATAGAGCCCCAAAAGGGACTAACAGAAACTAATTTGCAAGTGAACCACTAAACTAGAGCCAAACCAAGTGAGCCCAGTGATTGTTGGCTGACACGAGCAACACAAGCCAGCCAAAAGATTATTCCATCAGGCACATGTTTCTCTGCACTGGCTTTACAACTGAGAGAGGTTTAATTGAACACGACCCTATACCACCATTTCGTTTTAGCCAGTCCCTGTCTGCACACTAGCTAGAATTGGCCGACATCCATATTGTTGTTTTAATGATCTAATGTGCTTGGGCCTTACCCCGAAAATCCTGAAAAATTTGTAATGGAACCAGCCAAAAGCTAACAAGGGCTCATTTACAGAAGTTTCTTGGGATTTCCCTTCAAGTTTCAGTCAGCAATGACACCAAAGCATAAGTACCCAAGCAGGAGCACCCAAAATACATGCATTATCTAATTTGTAGGGCTCCCCACAGGTCCAGAAATTTGGTGGCACAGCAAATAAATTGCCATCACTTGTCCAGGCACGAGATTTCCAGACTTACAGGGAGCCCTGTGGGCTGAATTCAGGGCGCAGAGCTGCATCATATTGTTTATGGGGCTGCCCACAGAGCCAGAAATTTGGTAGCAGAAAGCTGCAGGAATCAGTGCTGCAGATGCCAAATTACAGTCCTGTGGGCTAGACTACTACATGGCCTTGTTTTCTGGATCCGGTCCATGAACCAGCCCCATGCCACTCCTCCAACCTCTGGGGCTGGATAAATAGGACACCCCTGCCAAAACCAATTCACTTGAGCTCTGAAGCTGCGGTTTGTGCAGTTATGCTCCACCCATCAGGTTTTGGGGCCAAGACAGGTTGCCCCCCAGCACCATTAGTTTTGGCAACAGGACAGAATTAATGAGGAGCAAAGAGTCTTCTTGCCAATGAGGGCTGGGCTCTCTGTTATTGTCTAATAGCTCAGCTGTCCTTTTCTAATTGCTCCTCCTTGACAGCAGTAACAGCAGCTGTGGAGATTGGCAGACTGTGTGCGCATCTCTGCCAGCATCCCCATCTCTCAGATGGTTCCTGAGGATTAAATATCAAATGTGGTGGATAGGATTATCCTGAGAAACCCACCAAACTCAGGTGAAGGAACTTGCTGGGCCCACTACATCCTAAGCCCCAATGCAGAAAAGCTGAGGGCTGATGATGAAACTGTCCCAAGTTGAAAAACTGAATGACTGTGAGCAAATCCCTCTCCCTGTCCCAGGAGGCATTTTATGCAGCAGCCTCTTACAGTTGCTCTGAATAATCCCAAAGCATGTTACTGATTAGCCACAAAACATAAAGCAGAGTGGAGGAGATGTAAGTTTACACAAGGACTGAACTCTATCCTGCATAAGATTTACCCAGCACAAAGTCTGCCAGCTCCTGGGGTAGAATGCATCAACAGTCTTATACAACAATTTTTAGAAGGGGGGGGGGGGAAGGGAATGGACATAAATATCTTTCATAATTGAAAATGCAACAACAAGGTTGTTGTGGTTCCAAGGGTTATTGGCTAGCTGTAGACAGATGAATTACCTGAGGCAGATTTCTTTATTGCTCATATTCCTCCATTGAAATCATCCCAGTGGAATTTCCAAAGAGATAAAATTAAACCAAGTTAATATTTTAAAGTAAAATATTTTTATATTTATTGTGTTTCAAGACAAGAGGATTTCTCTTTAATACACAAACAAGTCAAAGCAGCACATAATACTGATGATCAAGTCACACCCAACTTGGTGGAGAGATTGCTACAGAGACTAAAAGGTACTGAGAACTACACCACTGAGTCTCATGCTACAATTTACTATACTACAGCCTGATTAGGAGAGAGGAACTAGACACCTTAAAAAATACATTTATTAAAAAGAGTTATATGAAAACCCCAGCTGGGGAAAGAAAGACCCTGGAAAGAAACCAAGACCCTTTTAAGCACAGGGCTTTCGGTAGGCAAGGCAGTGTGTCCCATCAGATCTATTGCAATAGACAACAGCTCTCCCCAGCATTTAAGAGCTGCAACAGTGAGAAATTCCAATGGGACAGTAAGTCAGTTGTACAATGATTTAAATAGCCAACAGTAGAGAAGAAGGAAGGAAAAGAGTGCTATCTTTCCAATGCAAGAGATGCAACTCCAAGGATGAATTTTCTGTGGAGTATGACAGTTCCAAGGAGCCACCGTTCTAAGAAACTAACAAAGTACAAGTAAGAAATGAGAGTAGTGTCACTGTAGGCTCCTTCAATGTGGCACATGAGCTTTCTGTGCTAGAGAAGGGAGTTGAGGGTTGTGGCAGCTTGAAGGAATGCAGTAGTTTTAACAACCTCAGCTACATGAGTTATCCCATTCAGTGTTACATCAGAGTAGTGTTTCAACAATTCCCCAAGTACAATAGAACAGCTGTTACACTTGTTTCCATGAGCCAGCTGAGAAGATCAGACAGTTCAAACATGATTCCAGCAGACGGGAAAGGCATGATTCCAGCAGGCTGGAGGTTGTGAAGTGCTCTGCCAAAAGGGAAGATCAGAAGTTTTCTAAAATTCAGAAAGAAAAGGGTTAATGAATAAGTCTCCCTGCTCTAGAGACCAGGATTCCTACATCTTTAAATCACAGAGTGGAAGCAATTTGGTAGATCTCATCTAACTCCACAGCAGATACATGCCATCATACAGCATGATCACGTCTATCTTGACAAGGCCCAATATTGGATCCACTAGGGGACCACAGGTAAGACCAGGGGTAGCAATTATTTGGGGTGGAGGGCCACTTAAGGAGTTTTAGTGAGCTGTTTACACCACCCAGTGTGGTGAAGGGGGTGGGGGAAAAGGGGCTGGGGAGATGCCATTGGATCCTATCTGGCCCTGGGTCCATCTGCCCTACACTCACTGTGGGGGGCGCCAGATGGAATGGATGGAGGGTATCTCCATGGAAACTGTCCCAGGACCCCCATGGGAAGGGCAAGCTTGGCCAGGCAGATGGGATGGAGCTGCAGGTGGATGGGGAGCAACATCCTGGAGTAAGGCAGGTGGAAGTAGCCAGGATCATGGCGTAGTGACAGTGTGGGGCTGGGGTGCGGGGTACAGCTGCGATCCACTCCCTGCACATCCCTGCAACGCATGCCTGCCTACAGAACTGGCGCCCGTCAGGGACATGCAGGGAGCAGATCACAGCTCTGCCCCCTAGTCCCATGCTGTCATCACCTCACAATCCTAGCCCCAGCCACCCATCCTGCTCCCAGACACCACTCCCCACCTGCCCACGGCCACATCTCATCCACCCAGCTGAGCATGCCCTGCCCATGGGGGTCCTGGGCCAGCCTCCATGGAGACCCTGGCCACCCACTTTGTCTGCCACCCCCAGTGGTGGGTGTGGGGCAGACAGGCAGGGGTTACTGGTGAGGGGGGCCAGTGCCAGCAGTGGTCATATAACCACTTCCAGCAGCAGCTGGAAGCATGAAGGCAGGGAGAACTGCCACCACAGGGGCTACTGGGAAGCTGAGTCTGGCTGCCATGGCACCTCCACCCCACTGCGGTGCTGCCCAGTCCTGTGGACTAGAGTTCCCAATGTAACCAAGTGCTGCATGTGGGGATGGGGTGGGCTGTGCTCCACACCAGGTGGCAGCTCCGTGCCCATGGGCAGTGAAACGAGTTGCATGTAATATCGTCTGGGCTGTCCCCAGTGCCTGGGCTGGGCAGGGCAGAAGGACCCAATACGGGCCAGACAGAATCACTTAGCAGGCTGGATATGGTGCTCAGGCCCTATTTTGCCCACTCCTGGGTTAGACTGAGGTCCAAAAGCAGAGCAAACATGATGGGCAAGAGGAGGAGAGCCAGTCAAAAACAACAGGGGCACTGCATAGGAACTAGTACTGCAGGAGCAGGGAATGGCACAGGTTAGGACAGGGGTGGGCAAAATGCAGCCCGCGGGCTAAATGTGGCCCACCAGCCCATTCTATTCAGCCCGCGGGGCCCCTAAATTTTAGAAAATGTATATTTTAATGACACAGCTGTCATGCGGCCCTCAATGGCTTGCCAAAACTCACTATCTGGCCCTCCGCCTGAAATAATTGCCCACCCCCGGGTTAGGAACATGCTGTGCTGATAGAGTTGACGTCTGAGGAGGACAGGCAGAAGAATCAAGGGAACAGGCTGCAGCACAGTTAAGTACCAAGATGCCCAAGCTGGCACATATGGGACAGACTCCACAGCTCCTGTCTCTCTAGCTAGATCAAGGATTTCTACTTCCCTTTAAAACATCTTAAAAGTTGAAGAACTTGCTTATAATAAGTGGTCTGCTCTGCTCTCTGAAAGAATCATACAGCTCTGAGCAGCCCCTGCACTCATGCCGCCCCTACACATATGCACACAGGCCTAGAAGCTCCCATACCCCAAGTTCACAAATGCACTGCCATACTGGTGCGAACAGCTTGCGCTGCAAAGAAACCTACCTTGGTCAGAGGTGCAAGGCTGCAGGCCAGCTGGTTACACCATCTCATACTGATTGTTTGTGATGTACCGGGAAAGGCAGCAGGCAAGAAAAATCCCAACCAACTGGAACAGGACAACAGAACTAAGTAGAAATAGGGTCAAAACTGGACAGTATGTGCCTGGACCCCTCTACCCCCACAGCAGGTGACTGAAATCTTGAGCACTGGGAGCTTCTGCTTTGGTTTTGTACAAGTGAACCCTTGGATAAGGACATTTTACCAAACTGAAATATGGCTTCCTTGACCCATCATCAGAATTAATAAAAACTGCAAGTGGAAGGGTCTTGGTTCAATGTTCCTTCTTGTTAGATTTTGCTTAATGAACCTTCTACTGTTATAAATTTCTGTGAAATTACCATATATGGACATATGGAGCATCACAGCCAATTACCCCACCTCTAGAAAACAGCAACTGCCTCTCCCATTTCAAAAACAATGATGGAAGCAAGGTTGGCGGTGGGCTGATAGTTTTTATTTCAGCAACATCTGGAAGATGTATCAGTTGTTACTGCAACACAGGCACCAGACCTGAGTTTTCTGTACTATAAAGACATTTAGGACCTGATCCTGCAAACACCTGTGTATACAGCTTTACTCTCACAAGGAAGTAAGTACAGTTAAAAGTATGTTTGCAGCACTGGCCCCTTTTGTTTCTGATGCAGGAAAACTCATTTGAAAACAGAATGACACCAACAATTCATTGTTTGAAACTTGAAAACATGACTCGTTCCTGAATGATAACAGCAACTGCTCAAATTCCCCTATTGTAATAAAACTGATTGAAAGCACATGGGCTCACTGTTTATTCAGAAGTCAATCTGTACCTACCCCTTTTTAAGCATGAATTCAGAAGCCATAAATCAGCTCAGCACAACTTGTACATACCAGGAAGGAGCTAGGAAGCAGATAGGAGCTAGAAGGGACAGAATATCTCCTTCCATAGGACACTGACCCCTAAATGCAGCTATGATAATCTGCCAACACAGCAGTTCCAATAAGAGTGCCCATGGCACCAGGCTCTTTCAGTACTTAAAATATTTGTGACAGGGTAAAGCAGAGTGGCATACTAATATCAGATTAAAATAACCTGGCAGAAACTTCTCTCATTAGCGTACCACTGAGTCTTATGCCATCACGTATTAAACTTTCAGTCAGTCTGGATGGTACCACTGTGCTTCACACAGCAGCTTGAGGCAATTTGATTCAATAAATAGTAAACTCAAAATAAATCAAGCACTGCAGCACTCACAGCATGGGACTGGGTCTCTGCCACAAAGGGGATGCACAAACCCTGAAACCAAGGAAGTCTCAAACGTCACTTTCTTCATGCTCTACTCAAATGCAAACATACTTTGAAAAAACAAGGGGTTTGCCACTTGGAATCAAAATGCGGATCTGAGACTGGGTTCACGAACTGCAGACTGGATAGTGCCTCAAAACAAGAGGAAGGTCACATACTCAGACATATTTCATCTGCTTCTATCTCCTTGCCACCACCTTCTCAGCTGACTGCAAGGTACACTGGAACAACACAAACTGCCAGAAACAAAAATCCCAGTATGTGGGGCATTTCAGCAAATCCAACAATTGTGACAAGAAGGCTCAGGTGCTCAAACTGTTTGAGCAATTCAGCAAAGCCTAAGCAGGTCTTATTTAACATACAAGATCAAGATACTCATTCAGATGTCCCCATCACACATCCATAGATGCGGACAGGCTATCACAATATCAGTGATTGTGGATAAAGATGAGGACCCACTATATTTTAAGGAGAACTGAAGGCCTATTATTCTGACAAATACAAGATTGAAAGACCCTACACCGACAGGGAAGAAAAAAACCCAAACGCATAGCAAAGGACAATATTCTGATCAGAAGAGAACCAAAAGTGTGGGAGTTCTGTCAGCCAATGATATGGTCTCTAAAAACACCCCTCCAGATTTAGCCTAGGCAAGACACAAGGCTAGGTTTTCTAGTGAGCTGCACCCAGAATTAGAGGAAAATCTTCAAAAGCTAGAGGGCCAGATCTACATGAGTGTTCAGGATGCACCAGCTCCCATCATAGCACTTGTGAGGAAAACTCATTTCTGAGCACCCAGTCCCAACTGTCACCACACACAAAGGCTATTTCAGCAAGGAGCTTAGGGGCAGAGGCCTCCTGTTTCGTGCTGAGATGAGGCCCATCAGATTAGGAGACACTAGCTATACTGTTGTTTGAGGCAGGATGCTTCCTTCACCAAAAGGATAAGCTTCAGGTTTCATCAGAAACACTGCTAAGGCGTTTTGCTAAAGCAAAAAAAACCAAAACAAAACAAAACAGGGTTAACCAGGGCTGACTTAATTTAGTTGAAATGAGGGCTGATGGGGCAGTGGACACAGCAGGGCCAGTCTTTTCACTGTATGCAATAATTGTGGCAGCTAGTCAAAGCATGAGCAAGCGCGAGGTTTGACTGCAGGGACAGCTCTTGGAGGTGAGTTGTTCCAGAGGGAACAGCTGCTAATAGACCAACTTGTTGGAATAATGCTGGAATTTTAACTGCCATTTTCAGCAATGGGGACTAGGTAACACAGAAACAAAATCTGCAGTCCCACTGTTTCTTCCTTTACATGCTTAAAAACTTTTAAAGCAATTAAATATAATTAACAACACACAGACCAAACTCAGAGCTCAAGGGCCAAACAAGAGGAGTAAGGAAGATTTTACCTGGAAGCATGCAATGCCAAAGGAGATGCCAGCCACAATGCCCATTTTAGACTCCATAACTGTTGTTGCCAGAGTGAAACAACCCTGTGATGGAAAATGGTAGCACATGAGAAGAACTCCAGCTAGTGCATGGACGTGCACAAAATTCCTGACCCTCCCTAACACAAAGTGACATGCTCTCCATCCATGGACACAGCCCAGAAAGCACCAGTCCACAGGCAAAGGGAACAGTCAATGAGCCCAGGAGGGAATCCACTTCATAGTCAGGGTAAACCTGTGAATTAAGCTGTTTAGCCTTCCTGTAGTTCCTGCATAGGGGTGCCATGAGAATTTAGTAGTATAGAATATGTTATGAGAACACCTCTCATAACCCCTTCTTTTCTACACAAGACAGGCAGTATAATAAAGGCAAAGTAATCCAGGCATATCTACAGCACAGCTTTCCTGCAGTCAGAGACAAGCACAAAGAGTAGCTGGAACTTAGAGAACTTGACACGCTGGGAGCAGTTTTGCCAAACCTCTCCCTCCCCCTCAATGATTGGTGGCAACTCAGACCTTCATCCCATTACTGATTACAAGTTTCCCATGGCCCAAACACTCTTCCTGGACCCAAGTTCTCCTTTCAGGTTCCTCCTCCCACTGCAGAACCTGACCCTGGGGTGGGGAGAGCAAAGCACTTAATTACAGCCCCAGCTCTCCAATCCCCACACCTGCTGCCAAGATACACAGATAGATCTCTCGCTTAGATTTACTTACATCAACATACACCTTTGTCTTGGCTTTAGCCAGGTCTTTCAAATCATCTTCTGTACAGTCGTCTGGGAGTCTGCAGCAGCTCCGAGGGATTCCCTTTTCTGTATAGTACGCAGTATTTGTCCAGTCTGAATAGTTTTGGACTCCACAGCAATGCAACTGGGAAAATCAATTTAAGCAGAATGATAAAGAACAGTAAGTACATAGTCTATGAGACACCACTTCTATATACATCACTGCAGCACCCCAAAGACTTCCCCATTGTAAGACCTTCCCCTTCAGCAACCCAATTGCTTTCTGAAATTAGCCAGGTCCTTTCTTAACAGTGCAGACCAGGTCTTTTTGCCCTCAAGCTCATGTACCTCAGAAATATATACGCATGAAGAACAGGTACAGAGTTTTTCCATGTAAGCATTCATCTGCTTGATCCCTGCCCTATGGGGAGAGTTGTAGGTCACAGCCAGCCCTTTGTGCTACAAATCATAATGAATGCTCCTGATATGTGTAAGAAATGGAAATGCTGAGTCAAGGCAATGCTCCTGCTGAATATTCTGAGCCCCGCATCACTGTAGTAACAGAGGGGAAAGCTGCTGCATACCTCCTTTCATGGGACAACTGCAGTAGCTAACTTGATGCAACTTTCTCTACTAATACCTCATAGAAGAATGGGGCATGCTTGTGCTATAAAAGAAATAAACCAGCAGCCCCCGTCTCATTTTCTACCCCTCCATGAATATCAGGGTCTTCTAGGCAATAACATGGAGTACATTGGTTCCTTTTAGCACTGGTGGGAAAGCCCAATAGAAGCACTCACAGTTTTCTGGACAGTATCTACTGCCTCACTGCGCTGGTCCATTGTTGCATTGTAGCTTCTCAATGCTAACATGTAGTTACTCGCAAAGCTGTTCTTAATCTGCAAAAAAAAATAAGGTCATGGGGCTCAAAATCAGCAGGTGGGTCCCCATCCACAAGAGCTTCTTTATCTTAAAAATCAGCCCCAGCAGGAACAGTGGAGCAGGAATCACATAAAACCATCCATGTGCTTATTTAGAAGGGACTGGCCACTATGGTGACATCAGAGGGAACTGCACCCAGCAGCACCAAGCACTGGTACTTAGCGGTTCTATAAAAAAGAAGAAACCATAATCACAGTGATCACAATAAAAAAAATCATGGCTGTGTGTGGAGGCATTATCTATGGCAAGAGGCACAGGTCGGAACATTTTTAACCTCACATTTTAGATAAAGGATCAAAAGTCACAATTTAATGTCCGTTTTCACAAAGTCAATTCATTTTAGTATGAACTAGGAAATGTTCTTAGCTTATCAGTGGAAAACCTTCTCCAAGTACTATAAAGGTACAAATAGGAATTAGGTACTTGCCTAATTAGGTGTAGGAAGTAGGTGCCTTTGAAAATCTCATCCACTACATCCATTTTTTCTCTCAACACTGATGAACTTTTCTTTTTTACTTCATGAACATTAAACTCTTCTGGGCGTTAAGAGTGGTTAGTTTAGTAAAGTGTATTATGATTGCATTTCAGAAGCACCGAGTTCAAGTCTAGAGGAATTGTATTTTTGCTAACGTTTCTATCAATCCATTTCCATCCAAGCAATTACAATTAAAAAGGTGGTTCCAAATTTGTCACGTATATAATACATTTTAGGATGAGAGTAGGCTTAGCTGATTTAAGGTCCAAGACATGCAAAAGAAAAAATACATAAGGCCATACAGGGAAAGGGAGTAGAACTAGCTGTTTTTGAAGGGATATGCCTAAAAGAAAAACAATCAGAATTTAGTCCTCACTCCCAATTAGAAACTTTGTGTGTGGGACCCCTCCGCTGGACCTGTGTGACTTACTTAAACATGTCCACTTAATTGATTAGCCTTTTGCAACGCAACTTTTTAGTAATGGTCCTAGACCAGTGTGACTGAAAACCTCTCTTACCATCCTTACTAAGGGTGTCAATTTAGACTCAGAAACCAAATTGATCCCATTCTCAGTACTGCCATTATAAACCGAGCCCATTCCACTAGAACCAATGATGTTGCTCTAGGTATCTACTGTTGAAACCAGGGGTGCTCAACCTCTGGCCCATGGACCAAATGCGACCAGCAGAGTCATCACATCTGGCTTGCAGGGCTCCCTGCAAGTCAGAAAATTGGGCAGTGGAGGAATGGTGACAATTAATATGGCCACCCTCTCCCCTGCCAAATTCCCAAACCCCATGCTCCACATGGTGGGTTGAAGCCGAGCCATACACCCTCCCCTCCCAGCAGATGGACCTGGGTTGGGCCATGCCCTCTCCCCCACTGCAGGACCAGGCTGGGGCTGGGCCAAGCCACCTTTCCCTGCATGGCTGGACTAGGGTCAAGCTGCCGCTACCCCACTCCGCACAGCCAGATAGGGGCTGGGCTGCCCCCACCCTGGGCACGGGACTGGGTCCACCAGCCAGACCCAGCCTGTGGAATCTGGCCTGCCGGCCACAAAGATCATGTACTACTAGTCAAAGCAGAAGGAAACTTTGGCACGAGGTAGGACAACGAAGGGGTGAGACAGCGAGATGAAACAAAAGATGAGTGTGGACCCTCTCCTTTTTTCCTAACACTTTGTGCCACTTCCAGATCCCCTGCCTGCACTGTCCTCACGAGGAAAGGAGGGGGGTCTGAGGAGGACTCACCTCGTGTCTGAAAACAAATCCCACAATGGCAGCCACCAGAACAACCAAAAAGATGAGGGACAGGAACATGGCATACTGCGGGCAAGAGAAAATGTCAAGAGAGAGACACACAAAGCACAACGTGCCGCAGACAGGACATGAGCGATGGGAAGGGGTGACACGCATGGGCACTGCTCTGCTGGGCCATGCTGCGCCAGGGGAGCCCGCGGGGCAGGCGGGGGATGCAGGCAGTGCCACGAGCAGGTGGGGGACTGGGGGCCTGGCCAGGGGCCCGCTTACCAGCTTCAGCATCCAGACGTTGCCGCGGTCGGTGGCGAAGCAGCCGAAGGTGCCGAGCAGGATGACGACGGTGCCGGTGCCCACGAGCACGAAGGGCACGTCGGCGGCCTTCTCGTCCAGCAGGGAGAAGTACGCCTCCAGGCTCACCTTGCCCCACACGCCCACGGCCAGCAAGATGATGCCCGACACCTGGGCAGCGGCGGGGCGCGGGCTCAGTGCCTCGGCCCGGCCCC